CTTTCTTGAATCCTACGTGTGAAAAACTCACATGCTAAGCCAACGACTTAGTGAGGCAATATAATAATAATAACAACAAAGAACTGTAATGGAATGTCATAATGAAATGGAATGAGATGAAATCAAATGCTTAACCATGCAGTTTATATCACCATGTTCTTTACCTGTAAGCATAATGTATTAACATTCATGAATTCATATTAATAAGATTATTGGCCCATGATACCATACTGAGAACCTAAGGTATGTGAGTACTGTGAGGTTGTGCACTATGTTGTCACCACAGCTCATATACACTGAAGTGCCACGTAGAATTGCACCGAAGTGTCATATAAGATTGTCCTTAAGAACCACGTAGATAATTCCTTAAGAATCATATACATATGCCAAGGATCAAGTATGTGTCTTAAAAGACCTCACACATGTTCCAAAGAATACATATATGTCCCGAAGGACCATGTAGACCCTCTACTCTTGGCATGCCAACTATACCTATAGTTCTCATCTACATAACTTGGGTTTTTCTCAATTCACGTAGTATACCACATAGACATATCATTTCCTTACCTTCATCACATGGCTCATATGACTTTGCATACATATTCATTTAAAACATGCTACACAATGCACATAGTATGAATTCATATCATGCTTCACAATATGAAATGAATCATGCATCAATGTATTGAATCTAGACTTCTCACAAGTCTAGAACTAAATATATATTGTTATAATCATATTATGCATATGCACTCACCTATATGCACTAAATATATCTAGACTTCTCACATATCTTGGTTTTATGCTTGACGTGTTTGGCCGAAGCTAGAACTGAGGGGAATGATTTCCCCCACATCTACATTAATTTACCCCGATTTTTTGAGATTTTTTTAATTTTCTAATGAGTTTTTCTGAATTTTTGTTGTTGATCAATTTTGTTGTTGTTGTTGATGTGAGATGATGATGTCCACGTGGTTGAATGGCGGCTGTCGGATGATAGGATCGGGTGGCCGGAACAGTGATGAATGCATGAGGCGTGGGCTGACTGCGACGGCGGTGGGAATTAGGGTTTTAACAAACCCTAATTATCTTTTTGTTGGGATAAAGTTTTGGGCCGAATTCTGCTAGGTCAAATGTGTAATTTGTGCTTCGGGTTTAGGTCATATGACCCTTTGTAATTGGGTTGGTGTAATTGGCCTGTAATGTAAATAAAATAGAAATAGAAACCGAAATAAAAATAAAAGTAAAATGAAACTGAAAATAAAAAAAAAATAAAAAAATGAATAATAATAAAATTATTATTATTTAATTTGGACAAAAACGGGTATCTACAATTATGTCAAATCTTAAGCTTAGAGATCAACATAATATTATTATTTATTAATATGGAGTAAGTATAATATAGTATATGTTCCTCAACTATTTGACATTGAACGCTCACACTTCTAATATTTTTAGTACTCAAACAAGAGACTTCAAGAAATAATAACAGTTCTTTTAAATATAGTCAAATTGATAAATTATGTATTTGATTAAAAATGTACATTGATAAATTCCATTGAAAAAAGTCAAATTTGTTGATACAAATTTGTTGAAGAGCAAGATGGATAAGAAATATAGTCAAAAGAGGAATAACATAAGGGAAAAAAAGATGGTTACTAACAAGCATATGCTTATTTAAGACCCAATGTTATTCTCATTAGAAAGGAAACAAACAAAATAAGAAAATAGTATGAGTAGGTGGAATTAATTCATATATAGTTCCTACTATTCTAGATTAATAAGTTTACGCGAGGAATAGAGAGAAGAGATAGCGAATGGCTAGTTGTTATTGAAAAGTTTAAATTAATATATATATTTTATATTTTTTTATATTTTTAGTTGATAATATATTTTCATTCTCTCTTTAAATTTTAAAAGTTCATCCTCCTAATATAAAATTTTGTATTCGCCCCTGATATTCGTCAAATTATTTTTTCTCTCTAACCGCTTACTTTTTGTTCTTTTTATTTTTTTTATTTGGTAAACAACACTAATTTTAACATTGGTCGTCGACTATGTGCATTCCATGTTTTTTTCTTTATTTTCTTATATTACACCTTATTTTTATTTTCAATAACTTTGTTTCTATGACACACTTTCGTATGTCTTTTATGGTATGTTTTAATTTGCCTTTTGCTACATTTTTTGTCCTTTGACCTTTTTTTAGTTTAATTTTATGAATGTTAGATTTGATGACGCTTCAACTGATCAACATAACGCTTATTTGTTAGCATGTTGATCTTTATTGCTTTGGGTCATCAGATTTGATTTGGATACACGATTTGCGTTCGAGATGATTTTCTCACGGTATTTGACTATGATTTATGATTATCGGTAGTCTTTCAGTAATTTGATCATTTGTTTAGTTCATTTGTCGATGCAGTCAGATTTATTCTTATTTATGTTTTGCTTGAATTGTTGTATGAGTTAACTTTTTATTTGCATAGTTCTTATATGATTTCAAATGACTAATTTATTGTATTAAATATTAATGATTATAGGAATATATCCTAGTTATATATGTTCATTACAATATTAAATATTTAAAAAAACTAGCCATTTCTATTTGTATAAAAAATAACAATCTCCAATAATATATAATAAAAAATAAGTAACCATTTGGGGGGTTTTCTAATAACCATCCAATTGACGCACCATAGTTCTATCGAATATTGTCTTCGCCTATATGGACCATTGATGTGTAGTTTAAATAGAGATATTGGCTGTCGCTGTCAGTATATCATGCTCGCTTTACAAAAGCGAATTTCGACTTGCACTTCAATGTGGACCGTTCATCAATTGATTATAAATCAGATATGGATTATCCCGCGATATAGTTCCTTTTTCTTTTAGGCCTTTGTTTTTTCTATTTGAAGGACTTTATTCATTGGTTGTGCAACATTTTGAGACATACATTTTTCAATTAATTGACAAATAGATGATTTCCTCTGTTTAAGATACCCTACGGTCCCTACATATTACTATAGATACCTTCTTTCCTAGGCAGAGACTTTTGGAAGGAGAGTCCAGGGAATGCTGTAAACTTTTATGACTTTTTATGCCCATTAGCATATATGCCGTCTTAATATATGTTAGACATCATAAGTATGTTGCAAAACATAAGTACTGGTAATAACGCTGAGAATAAATTATACAAAATAGAATAAATTTATTATATCATGAGAAAAAATATCAATTTAAAATTACTTTTATTTTGATTAATATAATCGTAAAATAGGTGTTGTCATTAAAGGTTAATTCAATATTTTTAACATTTTATATCTAAATGAAGAATATAAAAGTCAACTGACATTAATCATTTAAAAGAAGAAAGAATATAATTTTCAAATGAAAAAAAATAACAAGAGAACAAAAATAAAACCCACAAAAGAGTTTTCTTTGATGAGTAAAATAACTATGCTATTTGTAAAGATAAAATACTACATTAAAATTACTAAAATACTTAGAAACATACAATGATAAAAACCTTAAAATGAATTAAATTAGTTATAATATACATATGTTAGCTTTATAATCAACCGCTCAGTAATAAAATATACAAAAATTATATTTAAACATTCATAATAGTAAATACCCAATCAATTAGTTTATTGACTACAATTAATTTAGCGATAAATTATATATTTTACTAAGGAAAATTAGAGATGAAATATAGTTAGATTTAAATTTTAAAAAGAAGCAAATAGTAATAGAGTTATATTTTACTAAGTTGTCATAGTTATATTTGTAATTTTATAGAATTATTAATTCATAATATTGAAGGAACAATGAATTTATATAAGCGTCTTCTAAAAAAATATTATCTTATTAATTTAGATCTTGAGTCCAAATCAAAACCAAAAAAAATTATTATTTTAAGTTATTAATTTATCAAGTATTAATGTACAGAGAGTTTATTAACTTTGAGTCTGAGGCCACTGTTTTTCCGGACCTCCGGGCTTCTTGAGATTCAATCTTATCAATTATGTCGTAGTTATGTAGGTAGTGGTATTTTATCTTTATGACTTCATGGATCCATGTGATGTGTAGTAACTTAATTTTCAACAACCACGTGCTAGCTAAACATATTCGAAACTTTACATTTCTTAATACAAGTAATCTGAGCTTAAAGTTAACTCCCCTTCATCTATCAATCATTTTAGGTTACAAGGACGTTGGATGGCATGTAGATAAATGTAAGAGCATATAATCTGTTCATCGCTTTTCAATTCAACCATGGATTACCACATTATTTGGAACAGAGACATACAACTAAACAATAAACACATAATGGAACTACCATTCCCGGCTCTTTCAAATTAAAGGCACTAACATGAAATTTAACCCAACTACTTTGTGTTATTTTTTCCCTTTAAATTATAATATTCAATAAATTTAAGATTCAAATTTTAATATACTTATTGATTAAATTTGGTCCGGTTGACATCATTATCGGTATAACATATAGGATGATGTGAAATTGAATATGTTTAAATATTTAATATTCTTTGATTTAAAAATAAGATAAGAACTAAAATAAAATCGTATAAAAAATTCAGTATAGGTATATTGTTAAAATTCACCTATAATGTTTGGTAAAAAAGTTATTTTAACATCTATTCTGTTTTTAGTATTTTTTGCCCCCCAATGTTTCATTTGAAAGAAAATATTTTTGGATGAAATTCGTTAATTGACTAACAATCAATGCATGTTGTTAACATACTACCATATGTCTAAAAGTGATGACATAGCATACATAACAAGTCAAAAATTATAACACGACAGTCTCACATCATCGACAAGCAATGACAGTTAATTAACTAACAATATTCATCCCACTAAAAATCAAACTAAAATAAAACATCCAGGTCAAAAAAATAAATAAAAATCAAACTAAATTAAATATTAAACGTTAGAAACATTTCCTGACATTATGCCTCCAATAGTTTAGGATTTACTTGTTCTCATAACAGTTTTTGTAACATATCATTTACATAATACATATATGGTCATGTACATATTTCATTAGCCTCTGCCTCATAATATGGCAACATTTCCTTGTACTAGTCGGATCAAACTAAACTTAAGGCATATATAACTAACAGACAAAAACTATTTGCCGTACTAAAACGACAAACTAAAGATACCTATCTAGTTTGTGCCTCTTCCTACTTATTTTCACCTTGCCAAGTCCAAACTATGTCCTTAAGGGCCGGCCTCAATTCTTCCACGTAAAACTTGTTGTACTCAAGAGTGTCACCAGCGAACTTCGACAACTCCACCACCGTTACCTCCGATGCCAGCTCGAAAACCTCCGCCGTCACCGCTAATCTCCCTTTCCGTCCTACTTTCCCCAGCATTTTTACCTTGAATCCTTTCGTAGCTAATACCTTAAAGTTCAACTTCTTCGCCATGGATTCAAGTCTCGCCAGTGTCGCTGAAGCGGAACACTTTGAAGTGAATATAGGTGTCTTTTTCTCGTCTTCGAACAAATTAGACAAACCGAACCCTGATGACATCGATGAAATCAATTTAAACGCGTTGTAGAAAGGTGGCGGCGATGATGATATCGTCATAGTTTCCTTTTCAAAATTCCCATCGGTCTCGATCTCATCCTCGTCTCCATTTTCAACCGATGAGGACTCTTGAACTAGAACAGCAACAGGTTTCGAAAACCCCTTTCGGAACCAGGAATTGGCAATGATCCCTGGAATCGTAATCCTCTTTTCAGGGTCAGCAACGAGCAGCTTGGAAATCAATCTCCGCGCGTCGTTGGAAACCCAGGGAGGAAACTCATAGTCGGCCTTGAAAACTTTCCTATACATCTTCATAAGATTCTCAGCTTGGAAAGGCAAATACCCAGCCAGCAAAACAAACAAAATAACCCCACATGACCAAACGTCAGCTTTGGCACCATCGTACACATTCTTCCTCAAAACCTCGGGGGCAACATAAGATGGAGTCCCACATTGCGTGTGAAGCAAACCATCGTTTCGTAGCTGTTCGGGCAAAGCAGAGAGTCCAAAATCGGCGACTTTCAAGTTCTCATTCTCGTCCAAGAGCAAATTCTCGGGCTTCAGATCACGATGGTACACCCCTCGACTGTGACAAAACTCGACCGAGCTGACCAGTTGCTGAAAGTATTTCCTCGCTGAATCCTCCTTTAACTTCCCTTTGGCTACCTTAGCGAACAATTCCCCACCTTTGACATACTCCATTACGAAGAAGATTTTGGCTTTGGTTGCCATTACTTCTTTTAGCTCAACAACGTTGGGATGACGAACCAGCCTCATGATTGCGATTTCCCGCTTTATTTGCTCCATCAAACCTTCTTTCTTCACTTGCTCTTTGTTGATAACTTTGATGGCTACACTTTCTTGGGTTGACAAGTTTTTACCGTAATAAACCTTGGCCTTCTTTCTTCACTTGCTCTTTGTTGATAACTTTGATGGCTACACTTTCTTGGGTTGACAAGTTTTTACCGTAATAAACCTTGGCAAAGGTGCCTTGACCTAAAACCCTCCCCATCTCGAACTTCCCGAATACGATTTTCCTCGAACCATTCTTCTTAAACATGCTAGTTCAAATTTCAGCCTGCCCTCCCATGTCTCAAAGTAAACTTCTCTCTAATTAAGCAAAGCAAACATTTTATGGATCATTTGGGATTCGTTGGCAGATGATTACGAGGATGATTGGGGTGAAATAGGGGAAAACTGAAGGGGTAAAAAGAAGCTGACGTTTTGTAAGGAAGAAAACAAAGCAGTGATTGATTGTCTCGTATCTATTGATGGACATGGTATTCTAGGGGGAGCAAAGAGGACTGCGGAAGGAGCGGTAAAGCACATAGAAATGGAATTTATCATAGAATTTAACACTGTGGAAAATCAGGCCAACGAAATAAGGGACACACGTCAAAATAAGGGACACACGAAATAAGGGACTCGGGTCAGTATTCGAAGCAGGAAGCTTCCTCCTGTGTGAAAAACTGTATTTGCCAAATCAGTACCGAATTCCCCAAGAATTTGGCACAATCTTGTATGCATTTTAAATATCACAGTGAATCTGGTTTCTTTTGTTGTACTCCCAAACGATTTAATTAGGGTTTAAGTCACAGCTTTAGTTTCTCACCAGACATAACTAATAACTGTAAGTATTGTGGATACGGTTTGGTTTTTCTTCATTAGGCTCACACTCTGCCCATTGTTTAATTTGTATATTTTTACCCCCCCCCCCTCCAAAAAAATAATAAATAAGAGATTGACCAAAAGAATAATCAAGAATATGCTTTACCAGTTTCTAAATTTTAACCTACCAGATGTCAGTGTTAGGTATCTATTTTTTTTCCAATTTCAATTAGCGATAGTGATAAATAGCATTTCATATATTTCAAATACAAGTAGCATAAACTATGCTTATCGAGTGTTCAAATTTTTTTATAATTTTTCTGTGTCATACATTTTTATAAACATTTAGGAAGGATCCACGTTAAATGTTCTTTCACCGTTGTTTATAGTAATACTTTTTTCTCCCTTATCCACAAGTGTAGATATTGTTGTACACAATATTAAACATTATCTCTATGAATATAAAGTTTCATGTTTGGGGAATAAGAACAATAATTCTAATTGATATGAATGTCATAAATTATCTTTTGAATTTAGAGATAAATTCACTGTGTATTATTTTTTAAAGTAATTAATATATTAATTATTCAATTAAGTTTAAGATTCACAACTTTTGTTAAATACTTACAATCAATAAGTCGAATGCACCATTCTTATGATTCCAAACTAATAGAACTAGACTTATAAAAAGTTTAACATTCAGGATTTTTCTAGTCTAAATTAGTATTTAATAGTAATATTTTATTTAAGTTAAATCATAATTTTATCATTTTCAAAGCAACTTAATAATAATTTTTGTATTTTAAAATCTTTATTTTTGTTCTTGAACAATTTCTATCTGGAGAGGGGAAGAATAATTTTGCTCTTAATGGGTTTTGAACCTACAATGAGATAATGTATCAACTGAAAAATTTTAAACACTTGCTCTAAAGATTGTTCATTTAGATAACCTAATTTTGAGAAACCGTAGATAATACTTTTTTTAATTAATTACTGATATCTATATATTGATCGATTAATACTAATCGGATTTTACAAAGTCCATTATGGGACAATCCTCTCGACCCAATTTACAAACATAAGGATCTTAAACCCTGATCTTATTTAAGAAATTTAATGCCTACTAGACTAAACGGGTGTTAGTAGAAACAATATTGTATGATTCGTAAATCTCAAGAAAGACTGTGGAAATCAATGACCCAATAAGTAATAGGTATCCAATTCAAGCCCAATCTAATGCATGAGAAACCACCGAAAGAATTATATCTAAATTAGCATTAAGCACTAAAAAAGGAAAAATAGTTTAATATAAGCTTTGGCTCTTGGATTCATTTAATTTAATTATTATTAAATTTTCAATTTAATTCTTAATATATTTTTAAAAAATCTTAAAATATAATGTTCGTTTGGTTATAAGAAATATAGGCTATTTTTATTTTTTTTTAAAAAGAAAACAATAAAGAAAAGTTGTTTGGTTGTAAAATTAGAAAATAATTTATGAAAAATTATAACAAAAAATACGTGAAAATATGCATAGCAAGTATGTTTGTAATATTTTCATTAAAATTATCTTTGAAAAATTGAAAAAATAGAAAATCACAAGATTTAAATTTTTAACTTAATTTATACGAGATGAAATCTTTCTAACAACAATTTTTTAATTAACGGTATCTGAAGCCCTCAAACTTTTTTAAAAAATCAATGTGATCCCAAAACTTTTTTATACCAATTGTGGTACTTAAATTGAATTTTTTATAATTTAATTTTGTAGTATTTTTATATTTAATGTATTGAATATCTTAATAATTGTTTATATTTTAAATTTAAATAATTTCTTTCTTTTTCTAAAAAATTAAATAAGTTCTCATACTTTCTAAAAAATCAACTAGGCTATCGAACTTTATACTAAGTCCATCTACCACATCATCGTCATGTACTATCACATCAACATTCTAGATTACCATGTAATTTTTGTGAACTGCCATGTAAGCGTCACAACTGTCAACGTTTGATTCTGTTGGTTGGAGGGTTATATTGTTTTTTCTCAGTTTAAGGGTCACATTTAATGGAAAAAAGTTCAAAGGTTACTCTATTTAAAAAAAGATTTTAGGGCATTAAATATCACTAAACATATTTTTTATTTTAATGACTTTTTTTATTCTCTTACTTACAATAATATATATATATATATATATATATATATATTAATTTAATTGAGATCCGATATGCATTAACATTTTATTCTCATTACAAACTAAAATGATTTTCTATTATGAAACTTCTTATCAATTTTATTGTTTTATATTTGTATAACGCACATGTTAAATTTATGTAATGAATCTTTTTAAAAAGTATATCTTAATGTAATTATTTAATAACTATTTGTTCATCCCTATTTTAAAAATTAGATATAAAATACATTTTTATTGTATTTATTTTTAGATTCAAAAAATAAAAATAAAAATTATTTTCTGAAAATAAAATAGAAGATAAAAATAAAAAATATTTTCTAGAATCAAAACGAATTATAAATATTTTATAAAATTAAATTTCAAACCGACAAGTGAGTAATAAGAAGAAAATTGAAAATAAGGAAACGTTGGGAGAATCCCAAGCACAAGAAACGTGTTTCACGTGCTCGTCAATGTCATGCACACTTACTAATTACTGTTCCAAATTCGGCTGGATATTGAAAATTTTGGAACGTTTAAATTATTTCCATAATAATTATATTTTGTAAAAATATTCTTAGAGAATGAAGAAATATATAAATATATATTTTAAATTTTTGGTTAAATTATGTTATTAGTTAAATGGAAAATTGATTAATAAAATATTTTAATGTCCATTGACTTAAATAATAATTAGTACTATTATAATACTATATTTTAATTAAAAGAAATACAGATATATATCTAAAGTTCAAATCCGTGTTTAATATGACCTATAAAAAAATTTACTACTAAACTTTTAATCATTAATAAATATTTTTTTAATAAAATTTAGTAAAACATAAAACAAATTGAAGGAAAGATGTAACCAACCTCGCACCTCGTGCGTTGACTTGAACAAAAGTTTGGAAAACAATTAGAGTTTATACATTATTAATTCATTAATATAATTATTTTTAAATTTAAAAATAGTAGGGAAAGAAAAAAAGAATATAGATAGAAGTATAGAAAATAAATAATAATAAGACAAAATTGGTATTAAAGAACATAAAAGAATAATAATAGACAATTCAAGGGAAGAACTTGACTACGGTGGATTTGACCCTAAAAGATAATAATAATAATAATAATAATAATAATAATAATAATAATAATAATAATTTGGATGAAGTAAACAAATGATATCTGATATAGGGTTATTTTGTTGAGTCTCTAAACTATCAAAAGTTACAAAATAGTTTTCCGATTATAGGATGTTATTTTGTTGAGTATCTGACTATTAAAAGTTAAAAATAGTTACCTGATTGTTCATATATATGTTTCAAACTTATTCTTTTCATTAAAAAATTAATTGTCATTTGAGTTGACGTTAACATGCTAATTGGATATGATAAAATCATATTTTAATGATGTCTACTAGTATCGTCATTGCTTTCAGGTACTGACTTGACGATATAATGTTTCAAGCACTGACTCGACAATATAATGTAAACGGACAGACGATATACAAAATATAACTCAAACGGTTATGAGATCAGATTTTATCATATTTCAATCAACAAATTAACATCCATCTCAGATGACTGTCGATTTTTTAACGAAAAATAATAAGTTTAAAACATATGAATAGTAGAGTGACCATTTTATAATTTTTAATAGTAGGGAACTTAATAATGTAATATCATATAATTAGGAGGTCATTTTATATTTTTTAATAATCATAAGACTCGACAAAATATTCTCCTATAGTTGAGATCATTTTACCTTGATAACAATAATATAATTAATATTTAGAAAATTAAAAACGTTAAGATGATGGCGAAATGTGGGGTTGATTGCCCACCAACTCTTATAAATATTGAATATTTTATCAATTTAATTAGTCACAACTACTTTATTCTATACATCTTCAAAGTATGATGAGATCATGCATGGCATCATTTCCCCCTTTTCTTTTTGAAACTTCGTTAGGCAGCCTTGCATGCATGCATGTCATGTCATTATTATATCAAGTGGACGACTCGGTAAAGTGTTAAACATTTCAACTTGATTTAATTTAACTCATATAAATATATAACTATTTAAAAATAACAATATTTGCGGATATAGAATTGAATGTTCGTAGTTTTTATAATCTCATATTTCATGTCTCGTTTGAATAAAAGATCAAACCTTGAGAATTAATGGTTCAAATTTTTATGTTTAATTATGATCGCTTAAAATATAAATATTAAAATAAAACATTTAAATTTTTTTGAAAAGTTATATAAACAATATCCAATAGCTAGTTGAAGCGTGGAATACAAATGCTTTCTCCTTCTCACGATCAAACAGGGACGGATATATGTGGCTCCTTAAGAAAGTTATTGTACCTACTGTACATTTATTATTTTAAGAAAAGTGTTAAATTTAATTTAATTTGTTAATGAAAATAGAAAAAAAATAAAAAAAAATTGCATACCCAAATTTTTTAGAATATGAACATTAAAATTTTAGACTCCTATTTTTTAATTTCTAGATCCGCCACTGCGATCAAACAATTATATTTAAACGTGAGCATAATAATCTTAATA